GGAAAGGATTATTCTTCAGTCCAGAGATCCTCAAACTTGATATGCCTAAGGATCATGTGGTCACTTTTAGGTAAGTCCAGGGTACAAACCAAAAATTCTGATAGAACAGTACCGAAAGCCACAAGAAATCTGCATATTAAAAAAAAACACTACCTACCAGAGAAAGCAAATAATTTTCAACTATGCCACTTGCCTACTTGACAGTCTCTAACAAAACAGAACATATCCTTGGTTAACTCAGAGCAATGTTAAGTATATGACACAAGCAAATTGATCAAAACTTCAAGAAATACATTTGGAATGTAGGATTCCTTCCATTAATCAATAACATCAACTGGAAAGTATACTTTTTTTTTTATAATGGCTGGGGTATAATAAGAAGGGTTAAACACCATTTTCCTCATAGTTCAATTAGTGGGCCCTGGAAAAGGGCACCGTGGTTGGCAAAGTCAATGACCAGCAAAAGAAGAAGACGTTGACATGCTGCAGTGACAGAGTGGCTGCAACAGCAACCTCACACAGCACTGTGTGAGCACGGTGCAGGGAGAGACACTGTGTTTCCTTTTACTGCTCACAGTTTTGCTGTGAGTTGAAAGCAACTCCAGGGTAATGTTATTAGTGGGGGAAAACTGTCGAGAGGATGTTATCTGGTAACATGGTCTACTTCTCGAAACCAGCCCACTTTTGTGAAGGCCTTTTAGGCTCCTACATCAGCTCACCTACTTCGTTGCATGCGACCCCTTAATTATTTTGGGTTTCCTTAAAGAATGCTAAGAAAAACTGTGTAGACTTAGGGAAGAAGGCATGAAAGCTCTTGACTGGGAAGGTGGGCAAAGATTTCTGGGAATGAAGAAGCAGTCCTTCACTAAAGCATTAGCTGTGTTACTAAGCAACAAATCAAATATGCTTACTTCTAGCAGCTCAAAATACAACTTCCAGTAGAAAATTGCTTGTTTAAAAAGGTCTTTCAAAGCCTAACATCTAGCTAATTTTGATTCTTAATTCATCCTATGATTTACTATTTTTATTCATCATATTCTAGGGTATTTTGATACCACATATAATTTAGGAATGCTAATAATCTCTAAGAATAATCATTATTATGCTTACCAGGTCATAAACTCACACTACTTACAAAAAGTATATGCAGGTATCAATAGTTCTGGCGCTGGAAACAAATTTCAATTCCATATCTTACTGGCAAAATAGTTGTTAGAATAACTGAATATCTATATACTTATGAATTCTTTAATCATGAAACTTGAACTCCTTTAAATGCCTAGCTACACTTCAAAATACATTCAATTAACATTTTGTCACTTAGATCTAATTTAATAAGCCTCCCTAAATATGACTATCTGATTTCTTCAATTCTTCTTATCCAAATGAAATGTTAATGTTAGATGTCTACACCTTTCACTTCCATTGCCTTGCAATGCAATTTGGATCTACAAAAATCATAATTAATATTATGCCTATGATATATTGTTATGTAAAAAGTCACCACCATTTCTCTGAAAGGATAACAGTTGGTTCTTAAGAGCTTTTCACAGTATTTCTTAAACTTTAATGCAGGTGTCCTACATGGCCCGCGGGCCAAATGCGGCCCGCTGAGGACATTTATCTGGCCCGCCGGGTGTTTTTGCCCCGTTTTGTTTTGTACTTCAAAATAAGATATGTGCAGTGTGCATAGGAATTTGTTCATAGTTTTTTTTAAAACTACAGTCTGGCCCTCCAACAGGTCTGAGGGACAGTGAACTGTCCCCCTGTTTAAAAAGTTTGAGGGCCCCTGCTTTAATGTGTGTGGAAGTCAAAAATCAGTTTGCAATTCAGATATTGCCTGACCAGGTCCAGAGTTGTGCCTGATTAATCTGGACTGCCATCATGCTTCCAAATAATAGTGACATACGGCCACACACACAGTTCTAGAGCCTATCAGGTCAGAAAGTTAGTGCAACTGTGCAAAACAAGCCTAGTGCTTACAAGGGATTAAATAACTGCTTCTCTCTTTCGAATGCCCGAAGGAGATTTCAGGCCTTCCAGCCCTTCTAAATCTGTTTTCCCAAAATAATCCTTTTCAATTTGGCTCCAAAGAGAAAAGCTAGATAACCTCTATAGAGGGAGCCAGCTACCCACTTAGTTACCCATTTAGTTACACGACTCTGCAAGGTGGCGTGAAGCAAAGATCAACTATTTATAGGTCAGCTCCCTCGATTTATATGTCTTTAATTGAACAAAGGTCAAGTGACTGGCTCAAGGTCACTTATCCAATAACTAAAAAGATCAGGACTTAACTCCGGGACTCTGATTTCAAATACAGTGCCTTTTCATTCATTGCCCATTGCTTCTAATACTGATCCACTCCAGAGACTAGGGTCCAGGTTATTTAGACAACAAAGTCTCAGTTCCAAATGGGATTTTCTGCCTCGGGCTTCACATTACAATTCCTGACATGGGTTTCCGATCTTATGGGGGTTTGGGGCCAGGAAAAATGATGTTTTCAAAACTAACTCTGAATTTCAACTCAATTACCTGAACTTAGAAGGTAATTACCTGAACTTAGAAGGTAATTCAACTCAACTATCTGAACTTAGAAGCAAAGACTCAGCTTTTTCATTGTGGAGAATGAGGGTAAGATTTATTTATTCCATTTCCACAAATCTGCTGATGCCTTGACAAAATTCAAAGTTAACAATATGTGGGAATCAGAAGCAGGTGGACCCTTCTCCAGTAATAGGACTTCTAGACAATTAAAAATATCTGAAAGCAACCTAATGTAACGAACCTAGTTGGGCAGATGTGGAAAGAATGACTCACAGGCATACATATATTATTGCTTGGATCTATTTCCATTTTAATGGTGAGTATCAACTTTATACGTACTTCAGCAGAAGGTCAGGGGAGAGCATATATAAATGTCAAATATTTTAGTGACATTAATAGTCTATACTTGTCTTCCCTGAACGCGCTTTATAAACACTTTGGAGATGTAGAACTGTAAGAATCTGATATGCTGTATGCTTCACTCCCTACCTTCCTCGGGTTCTACTGTCACCATTGGATCTACTCCAACCCACAGTCACTTTCTGTACAGCAGCACTAAACATCACCTGGTCCTGTGTTAGCCAGCTGAACGATCATTTGCATGCAATCAATCACCTGACCTTGCGTTGAAGGCCTGCTTCTAAACACTGAACAGCAGCCCACCATGAACATTCTGATCTCATTTCAAAGGCGGCCACTTTCTAAATGCTATGTCTACTGTGTGCAAGCAGTTCAGAATGAAAAAGCTCAAGTGGAATGTCCAGGCTGTTTTCTCCCTCTGACACCATATCCAGAGAATTTGATAGGTACGTAACTAACGGCTACTGATATTCTCTTTACAGGACTATACCTAGTTCAAGATTCTGGGATCCCCTCTTGCTTCCCACAGCTCTTTTGAGATAGCGTGGGAAGGCTTGGCAGGATGCTACAGCAAGGGAAGGAGGCACTGCACCTCAGAACTCAGCCGAAGAGAAAACAGGCTCTCTTTTCGTGGTGGGTGACCTGACATCTTAGAGAGTCAAGGATTTAACTGCCCGTTGTAGGGAGCATACCTGTCATGGGATGGCCTTTGGTGGAAATTCCACAAAGCCCTGGCCATGGCAAGCCTGCACTAAGTACAACAGCCTCCAAAGTCTCACAGCTGTGTTGCACTCTGGTGTTTGCTCCTGGTTGGAAATCTGTCTCCATCGGTTACATTCAGATGTGCCTTACCAAGTCTCCACACCGCCTCTTAGTAATCGTGCATATACTCATGGCTTAGGTGTTCCCTCCCCGTTCTTCTCTGTTTTTTCTTCATTGCCATCTATTCAATGCTCCCTCATCGCAACCCTAGGTCAGGGGGACCTGGCCCCGTGAGTTTCCAAGACTGGAACTCTTTGTGCTCCTAGAAAGCCCAGTCTTTCTCCCGAGGAGCGACTGGTGGTTTCAAACTGGTGACCTTGCAGACTGCAGCCGCACACATAACCACTGCAGGTGCCAGGGCTCTTCTTTTTAGCCAGAAGCTACTTCCCTCCCATTGACCAATACCATGTCCTTCCTTACATCCTTCCTAAGATGCCAAGTGACAGCCTGTGTACCAGCCTTCTTCACCATCTCCACTTCACTGTGACCTCTCTCTGAGAAAGGATAGTGAGACTTCCTCCCACCTGCTTTGAACACATTGCCAGGAGAGACAAGTTCCTGGAGAAAGACAGCTTGCTTTGTAAAGTAGAGTTGCACTGAATAATAAGAACGCCTTCAGTAAGATGGACCAACACAGTGGCTACACCCATAGGCTTAAGCACAGGGACGCTTGTGAGGGTGGCACAGGACCAGAGAGTATACAGGGTCGCTAGGGGCTGGGACTCATTCGGTGGCACCTGACAACAATGTCTTTGAACTGCCCCGTGAAGCGGCCACATAGCTGATTCAGAATTGGTGTTTTGCCCCACTTCTAAGAAGAAATCCTCACAAGAGACTCTATTTTGCTCAAATTCCCAGGACAAATCAGAATCAGGATAAAAAAAGAACATGTGGATGACATATTTGTACTTTCAAAGATTTTCATATGAAAATTACCACCAACTCTAAATCGTATACTAGTTTATGTATAGGTTGGAAAATGGTTATTTTCTGCTTTTACCCTGAACCAGATATTTAGGGGAAGCTTGGGAAATGAAGCTTCAAAATAGTTCATGGAAGTAGGAAATGATCATCAATTTAATATAAATATTAACATTTATCAAGCTGAACAATCATGGAAAGGGCTATCAACAAGAGCATTAACCCCACTCCACTTATGAAATCCAGTCCCAAACATAGTCCAAGAATCATCACTGATGATGGATTCGATGGGAGCCAACCACCTGGACTCATCGCCCAACACAATGTTTTCATTCTTCTACAAAAATAATGACAGTGACTTGTATACTTGGCAATAAATAATCATAAAACTATAATAACCATACATAACTTACTATGCTGGCAATGGATTCCATTAAATCCCCGAGGACATTTGCAAACATAGCCTATGAATGTGTCCCCTCGGTACGCTTCACTTATTTCACAAGTTCCTCCATGGTGGCACGGATTGGGCATGCAGGGACCTGGAAGACAAAACATCAAAATATCGCTGCATGATACATATGCTCAAAAGTAGACGTAGAACATTTTCCTTGAAGAATTTTATTTTATTTTTTAAAGAAAACTGAAAAACAAGAGACGTGTTTATACAACGTCTGTTTCCTGTACAGGTCCAGTGTGAGACTCTGGAGACCAGCAGTCTGGGTTTGCATCCTAGAGCTCTTTAGTCAGTGAGTCCTGGACACCTTATCTCACCTCAGGGAGCCACAATTTAAGGAGTGCTGGTGGCCTGGTGGTTGCAAGTTGGGCTGCAATCGAATGGTTGGCAGTTTAAACCCCCAACAGCTCTGTGTGAAAAAGATTGGGCTTTCTACTCCTTCTACAGAAATCCACAGGGCGTCGCTAGGAGTCAGCATTCACTTGATGGTGTGAGTTTGGCTTGGCTAGTGAGTTCACATCAGGCTCCTATCAGGGACGTCAGTAGTTCAAAACCACCAGCCCTTCCATGGGAGAAAGACAAAGCTTTCAATGCCAGTAAAAAGTTAAAGTCTCAGAAACCCACAGAGGCAGTTCTATATTGTCCTCCAGGGTAACTATGAGTTGGGCTTGACGTGATGGCACTGAATTTGGTGCTTCAATTTCTTCTTTGATCAAATGTCTATAGTAATAGAATCTACTGTATAAGGCTATGATATTGATGAAAAGTGTTCATACTTAAAACACCCAGGCCAGCTTATGTCACTAAGGACTCAAAAATATTAGCACTAAATAAAACATTAAAATAATATTGTCAAAAATTCTCAACACTTTTAAAAGTGATATTGAATAGCAGTGTGCAATGTTACAGACTTTGGATAGCTTTTGTCCTCTGCTGGGGTAATTTAGAAATGTCTATAGTCACACAGACAATGTGAAGCGAAGATTGTGAGGGACAAACTTCTAAATAAGCACAACTTTTGCCACTCTAAAAGGCAGCAGCTTAGCACACATTGCAAAACGTGAGAAGAGTAGCTGAGAGTCATTGTTAATACTTGAGAAAATAACTGAGCCTTTGACACCTGTGGCAGTCAGTGCAGGTATGGTGCACAGATTGCCCTTGGAGAGAATCTGCTGCCTAGGATGTTGTTAGCTGACCGCCTATGGGTGCTCTTTTGAATGCACTGCAGTAGCATCCAAGTTGCAACCAACACTTCCCAGGAGGCCCCAAGGCAGCAACTGAACACTGTGTGGGTAGGAGAGCGACAGCTTTCTAACAGGCATCCTGCATGCTAACACTCGCTATGTGTTTGGCCAAGATGTTCTCAAAGCTCTGTGGTGGTCTGAGGCTATTCCTCCATCCTTCTTCCTTCCCTCCTTTCATAGGCAACAGGCTTGCATCCCATTCTGGAGGTTCGTAGTGTCTACTTTTGCTCCCGCTCTCATTTGTAAATTATAATTACAGACCTTCCTTTTTGTGAAGTGAAATTACTTAGAATGGCTTTTATATCCTTGTCTTTGTAACTCACACCAAAGAGGGGTCATGCAAATAGGATGTGTGAAACTCTAATAGATGGAATTGCTTAGTTTTGTCAGCCACTCAGTATATAAGTCAGCCACCTCAGAAACAAAATAGGAGCGAGAACCCCATCGCCATCAAGAAAGACCATGCATGTGAGATTCTTGTCTGAAGTAGCAGAGGCAGGAGAGAAACAAGTGTGGAATCCACACTGGAAATTGTGATGAAGCAAAAAATCTAAGCCAAAGGAAGGGAAAGGGTTCCCTAAGCAAAGAAGAAAGACCAAGTACAAATTCAGTTAGTTCTCCAGTTATAAGTGAGATCCATTCCTACATGTGTCTTTATGATTTTGAAGTACTGGTAGACCAGAGGTATATAGTTTTTATTCACCTTAAAAAATATTATTAATTTGGAGTTAAAACATATAGCATTCCATAGCCCATTCATGTTAAGCAGAATTGCACAATTGTTACCACAATCAGTTTCCGAACATTGTTTTTCTTCCTGGATTCCTTGACACTGTTTCTGTTTTACCCTGGCCTCCCCACCCCCATCATCACTGTGCCTCTACCTGACCCCCCCCCCCAAAAAAAAAAAAAACCTCTATTCTGCTGGTTGTCCCTACAGTGTCATCAATCCTGGGTTTCATATACTGAAGGACAGAAAGACATATACCACAAGTTCAAGAGGGTAACCCCCAGTGACATAACACCTCTGTGATGAACCCTAATATGACCTAATAAAAACAAAACAAAAATATAGAAACTGTTGAAAACCAGATCAGGTCCATTGTTCATGAGATGGGGAATCAACTGACAAAACTTTAACTGTGTATACCTTTGACCTACTATATTCATCTCTCCAATGCACTAGTTCAGTAGCCACTATCCTCCCATCTCTATATAATTCCCACAATTGTATCTTGGGAACCCGCTGTCATCAATAGACTTCTGCAAACCAGTATCTCACAATTTAGGCTCTGGTACTAATCTCTCCTTTGATTTCAGATTATATGGATTATAATCCTTCGGTGAGTGATGATGGTGTGCTTCTTCCATGTGGACTTAGTAGACACTGAGAAGGCTGCTTGTTTGGAGACAGCCTTTAAGACTCAGACACTATTTTATTCAGTAGCTGGGCACCATCTAATTTCTTCACCACACTTTGCTACAACATCAGGGCCACAATGTAAGAACTAATTGGAGCTGGGATTCAGTGCAGCACAAAAACCATTCCTGGATCTATCTTTCTCTCTCTTTTTTTTTTTAGCTTTTTATCTACCTTTGGCTCCTTTTCAAAACATCTTTGTTAATGGTATACTGTCTTATTAATAAAACCGCTGGAGCATAACAATCTTCTATTAATATTGTCTTTGATTAGACCCTGTTACTAATTTTTTAAAACTCTGTTGAGAGAGGGATATTGAGCCTATGTAGGGTAACTCCATATCACCGTACCTAAATTATTCACTTGTACAGAATCAATCCTTTCATGGCTGGAAGATATTTTCACAAACAATCAGGTTAATTGTCAGGGAAATTTACAATAGTAATCACTGAGAATGTCAGTCACAGGGTTGCCAGAATAATACATATCTTATTACAGCTTACAGGCCATTGATGTGGCAAGAAACAGATCGCAAACAGATGGATCACCTTATTTTAATGTTGAAATGGGGACTGTCCAGCCCTTGGGCCATATAGGGGCTGTAAAGTCATCAATACCAGCTGAAATAACATGCCTCTCCAAAGAGAAGCAGTTCCAGCCATCACTTTAGGGGTGCGCTAATGAAATGTTTGACCAGTATGGCCCATAAATGATGTTACAAATAACCACATGGATCTTAACAGAAAAAAAAATTAGTGAAGAAAAGGCTGAAAATGTTCTGAGTGACTTAAAAGCTGCACAGGTAGTAAGGGGATATCTTAGTGAGGAATAATTTGTCTGTGTGTGTGTGGAGAGTAGATGGTGCTTCCGGGAGCCCTGGTGATTCAGTGGATTAAGCATTCCACTCACCACCACAAGGCTTGTTATTAAACCCAGCAGTCCCTTCCAGGGAGAAAAAAGTAAGCAGATTGCTTTTGTAAAAGACGAGCAGCCTCAGAAATATTAAGGACAAATTGTAGGACTACTATGACTGAATTGCAATGGGAGGAGGAAGAACTGGTGGAATAATTTCAAAGTGAAGAGACATTTACATAGCACGAAAGTAAGGTTTTCAGGATGTGTTGACCCCCCCACAAAGATGACAGCCTAGCCCCTCACATTGAATGTGGGTGGCTCCCCTCAGACCTGCAACAACCCACTCACACACTTGAGGGTCCCAGATGGGTTGGTTCACTGTTTCACCCAAGTTGCCCATTGCAAGTTTCTGGCCCATGTTTTCCTTTTCAGGTTATTGTAACTAATCACCCAAAATGTGAAAATTCCATTCTGCTCTACTTTTCTTCATGGGCTGTGATAGACCCTGGTTACAAGTCGGCATTGCCCATAAGTCATGTGTTCATAACCCAAGAACTACCTATATAAAGTTTTTGCTAATCTTGGCTTTATTTTTTTCGATGTAAAGAAGCGAATACATTCATAAGTAAAATAAAAACCACTATATAGAAAGCTAAGTTATAAATAGTAGAAAAGGAAAGAGCTAGCAATTAAACTAAGTAACTATATAAAAAGTAATAAATTCTATAGTCGTGGGGTGGGGGTAAGGTATGGGTGAAGAAAATGACCAAGGGTCTTTAGCTGAAAATAGAAGGAAAGAGAAGTCAGATACAAACATAGTGATTATCTGAGGTGTTACTCTGTGTGTGTGTGTTTGTGTGTGTGTGTACCAGTTCATCAAATGAGACTTGTCAAAGAGAGCACTCAAACTCTGTAGGACATTGTATACATGCTCTTGTGGCTTGGGGAGATTGTAGCTCTTTAAGGGAGTGGAAAGCCTCATCTTCCTCCCTCAGAGTAGCTGGTGGTTTCAAACTGCTGATCTTACAGTTAGCAGTCCAGCACACTGTGATTCACTACACTACCTAGTGAGTAGCTGCTCAAGCAAAAGTCTGGGGTGTTTGACAATTTGGGGAGAGAAAAGGAATTTGTCTTCATCAGTTTGAGCAGTATTGCAACAAATCAAATATGGGGAGTATTAGAGTTTAGGAAGGCACTGTGGCAAAACTAGTTGATGTTATTTCTTCCTCCAATAGTTGTCTCTGACACACATACTTTTCCCATTTAAAAGTTCATGTCATTCAATGGTCCTCCAGTGTAGCAAGAATATGTATGACATTGAGAAAGAATGTGACAAGTCTATATTGCCTATACCTTCACTTCCATATAGGGCTGACTTTCAAAAGTGAAAAGAAATCAAGGAGCTTTGATTGTTTCCAGTTATGTTCACATCAACCCATCCTTGCTCAACAAGCTAAATGTTTATTAATGATCTATAGTTTCTGCCTGCACAGCAGCTTCCTGGAAAAAAATATCAGGTTTTGTAAAGATGACAGTCAAGAAAACCTTATGTATCCCATTGTCTGG